TTTTGAATGCATTTTAAGAATAATTTTCCCATCAACTGGTCAAAATGCACAACACGCTGTATGCTGCGTGAAAGACGTGAGCGCACTGATGTAAATAAGCGGATGAGAAGCACATGGCGGAACATGTGAGAGACGCACTGGATGAAAGCGCACTTTCACTCTCTGACAGCAGATGGCGCTAAACTGCAGAAATAATAATAATAATAATAATAATAATTAATTTAAATGAAACCCTGTAAACAAAGCAGCCGCTATTTATAATAATTAATGTACAATACAAACGTTTATGTACAAAAATAATGTATTTACAAACTAAAAATAAAAGTTAAAATAAGCTAATTATAAAGGAAACGTCGGTATGACAGCTTCTTTACATGCATTTTGACTGCTCTCAGCACCCGTACCGTAAGTGCACAATTACACGCGCACTACAAAAAAAGGTGCGGCTGGCTTGACCGTGCATTTTCAAAGCGCGGCTGGCTTGACCGCAGTGCCTCGGTGTATATCTTTATCTGTCTAACCATATTAAGAATAATTCGAGCACGCATGCGATTTTAATCGTTATAAATTGCTTTGAGGTCTTACATTACACTGCCGATCATCATAACCATATCCTCGGACCTATTCACAACGTAACGTTAGTTAGAAAAATAAAAAAAAAAAAAAAAAAAAGCATGAATGTGAGGAAACGTCACACCATTCACATGAGAAAATAGTCTAGAACTGACTTACTAAGCTTTTTCCACATTGCATGATGACATGCGATGAAACCCTTGCGAATTGCGGCACAAACTTTCCGGTAATCCTTCGACCAAAAGCCCCGCTGCTGCTTGAGAAAATCCCAGAGATGATCTCGAGCGAACAGCGCAGCTTCTCGCCCTCCGTGGCCGTCAAACACGGCGAAGAACGCGACTGATCTCCTGCTGTCCCCCGCCGCCGGCTCCGTGCCGTCGCTCTCCTCGGTGAACAGTGTGTTTCTCCACGTTGCCGTGACGGGTAAAGGCTTGTTTGTGCAGTCCGGCGGGTCGCTTTCAGAGACCGGCTCTTGATCCGACTTTGGATCGGTGTGCCCGGCCGCTCGCAGCTCATCGTCGCTGGGCTCTAGCTCCACGATCACCTCCGTTAAATCCTCCATGTATTTCCTTCCTCCTTGTTCGGAGAAGACGCTCACTCGCAGCGATAGGTCGGGATTCATGGCCAGTCGGACAGCCCTTGCTGATAGGTCAACCTAAAGACTGCAAACGCGTGATTAAAATATTTTAGATAACGTCAACAACATTTATTAATCCGAGCTCGTCTTTTGTTTATTTTCTCAGCTGCCAGTCCTGCCTTCCTTCGCAGACACATAGTAATGCAGGAAGAACAGTCATTAGCGCCATCTGTTGGACAGGAGGATTATGTACGATGCAGTGGTGGTTTGTATACTAGTATACTATACTATGTACTATACTACCTACTATTTCTAAAAAATAGTCTACACATTTTTTGGTTTGTCACATGACGTTGTTTCAGGGGGTCAGGAATTGGCTGGTTAGCATCACCCAAAGGGGTCAAGCCATTCAGAAATATCTGTAGCCTATTCTAAGTAAACATTTGCAATCAGCTTATGAATTTAAAGGGGTCATATGATTAACTTTGATAAAGAATATCTCTTTGGTTTTGAGACTTTAGTCTTTGCAACTTCAGGGATTTTATCTATGCACAATCAGCTTGTAACACTCCAAAGAGAAAGGAAAACTTGAAATCGCATCATATGACCCCTTTAATTATTATAGTATGTTTAACCAGTGCACAGTTCTTTTAGGAGGCTCTTTAAAATGTGAAATGCTCAGTAAGAAGATAAATTCTTCTGTGAGTTTCAGCCACTATACCACACCAGCTCATTTATTTCTGAATCTGAAGATAACAAAATCAGGTTACATCTGCATAACACAGTAAATAACAGTTGTAGAAACCATCAAACTAATTGTTTTAGGGAGTAAACAGATTCCCAGGGAATTAGGCATAATTGTTCAGAACTGCTGATACTGCAGTGTTACACAAGAGCCATTGAGATCCTATGTGATGGCACCAGAACTGTAATGGTATCAGATAGTAAATACTGTGGTTCTTATTCATACTACCATACTCGTTTGACAAAAAAGAAAAGATAATGAATTAAAAATTAAGTAGCCTAATAGTTATGGAAATGTTTGCTTGAGGCTTAGGCCTTTATGTTTATCTGAATTTATTTGAGTGCAGATTGTGTTTTGTAGCTAAAGCTGGCTTTGGTTTACAGGTGAGAAAGTACATGTGCTTAGTCTTTTTCACCCTCACTGCCATATAATGAAGTTATGATGAACACATAATTCAGCTATGAAGAAAACAATACAATCATATATTCGTAAGTGGAACTCTTCTAATGAAAAATTTAGGAAAGAAAGCCATTTGGGTGCATGATTGAATAATCTGATTCAGTTCCAAGAAAGCATTAAAGGATTTTTTTTATTATTTTAATATGTTAATAATAATTGAGGTTTACTTAGTGTAAATAAAGTTTTTTTGCACACACAAAAAAATATGTAGGAAAATTATTATTTTCAACCCTCATTCTGAACCTCTCTCTAAAATGACCTGTTTTTAAAGGGCGTGTCCTTTAAAGGCTTCTCAGTAATCGGCCACTGTTATGATTGGCTAACATCATTGCATAGGAAACAGTATCAACGCCCCCTCGCTATTGCATGTGTTTTGACAACATAATCAAAATAAAATGATAATTTCCAGACAAAGCATTATTAAATCATTTACTTACAGTTTGTGATGCAGCTGCGGTCAGATATATGACCGCTTCATCTTTCAACAAATGTTTCTTTGTGAACTCTCCATGACACTGTGCCTCGTTTACAAAACAAAATGCTCCGATCAATCCTCTGGTGCCATTATAAATAAACTATCCACTTGTTCCTTACGCTGGGATCCTTCCGATATCTGTACAAAGACGCAAACGTTAATTACGAAATTGTGTGAATTACTTGTTGATTTTTGTAATGTTTTTATCAGCTGTTTGGACTCTCATTCTGAAGGCACCCATTCACCACACATGATCCATTGGTGAGCGAGTGATGTACTGCTAAATTTCTCTAAATCTATTCTGATTATGAAACAAACTTATGTACATTTTGAATGGCTTGATGGTGAGGAAATTTTAAACCAAATTTTAATTTGGGGAGAACCATTACTTTAATACTACATCAAATCAAACTCACACTTGTAGTTTTATCTACTCTAAGTAGCCTATAGTTTTCCTTCTGTCAATGTAGAGATTGTGTCCATTGTTTTTCATGCTCTTCCCACAGCCTGGAACAGTGGTTTGGTCTAGAGCTGTGCAATTAATCGCATGTGATTGTCATGCGCATCTCGTCAGTAAAGCCGGTTCTGTGATTAGTAGTAAATCTCCATCACCTGCTTTCAGATGGAGTGGCATTTACTACACAGAGCCGTAGTTCACTGACAATTAGGCAATATCGCATTCATAATCGCAGATGAATAGCATTCGATTATGAACGTGATATTGCCTAGCTTGTCAGTGAACTACGGTTCTGTGTATTAAATCTGAAAATCTGAAAGCAGGTGATGGCGATTTACTAGCAATCACGGAACCGGCTTTTTTAGCTTTCTCTTGAATATTTTCAGTGATTCAGATTCAATCTGTTGTAGAGTCCCTTGCAACTATGGAAAGAAAACAATTTATACCATTCACTTGTTCTCTCTTTTTGGTGGTGACCATTTTGCCAAGTCTCAGCGCAGACAAACATTGGTAAAGCCTAACTGTATTAAATATAGAATTGTCCATCAATAGAGTACGGTTGGTGGTAGTTAACAGAGTGTTCTTGTTGAAAACATTCAAATATCAGGCCCTAACGGCAGACATGCACTGTGCGAGTTTGGGCAATTGGGAGGTTGTGACCCCCTGAACACATAACGAGCCAGTTAACCTGATCCTCATCAAAGCAGTTGGTACACGGCCAGAGCTGGGTAGTAACTGATTACATCTGGATTACGTAATCAGAGTCCAAAAATTAAGTACTTGTAATTGATTAAATTACATTTTAAAATACTCGTAATCAGACTACAGTTACTTTTTTTATTGATTACTTATTATTCACACAGCAGCAATAAATTATTCATAATTTATTGATTCTCCCTATAATCCTCTTTTTCATCTTTAACATTTTCCTTTCTAAAATAACCTACCACTTAAATACACTCAGAGGGTCTTCCAGCTTTGTGGACATTCACACAGAGATCAGTCATTAGTCAGGTGGCTACACAGCATCTGGATTTACAAAAATCATTTCAGTTTTAAGCATTTTAACATGGCATTAACTACTATGAACATATTAATTTTTATTTGAATCATCACTCAGTAGGCTAACCGTGTATTACGATGTCTTTGGAAGGCTTTTGTCTTTCAAACACATTAAAATGCACAAATTCATGTTATTTCATGTTTACATGTAATGCAGGCATTCCCAAACTTTTCTGTCATCTGAACCTCTTTCACCTAATATATTTACTTGAAGTACCCCAGAGATTTTGAAATAAATATTTTAATCATTACCATATTTGCATGTTCAAGGTTCTCTGGTGTTGGTTAATGGTAACATGACATGCAGGTAAACAAATTAAATATTTCATTTTTTAGTAAGTGTTTTATTTTAATTGATTTTAAAATGATTTATTTGACATTTTTATAATTTAATTATTAGCTTTCCATTAAACTCATGAACCCCCTGCAGTTTTCATAGTTGCTGCTATTGCTTTGAATAGAAAAAGAAAACTTGACTATGGAACGGTTGAGGCCAACAGCAGAGAACGGCGGTCATTCTGTTTAAAAAAACAAAAAAAAACAAAGAGTCTCACAAAATGATGTAGCCTATTACCAGCAAATATAGGCTTTTCATATTTTTATTTTTAGTTAATCAGTCTGAATACAGCGTTCTCTCAATCTTTTACATGTAAACACAGAAATGTTTCAATGCACATGATTTCTGAAAATAAGAAATGGTGAAATAATGACTATGTGATATTATTGTACAGCACAAAACATGTAACACTGTATTATTTTTTGTACACTTGTATTATAAATATTTTACATTTGTATGTCTGGTGCTGTCATGCAACCATTTCTGAAAATGAACATTTTCCTGAGTAGCACCTTATAAGTTTCTCATTCTTATCTAAAGTGCAATAGAATGTGGGATTGTTTTTGATTTTCCTTATAAGGGAACATCATGACCAATGGAGAACTGTAATTGTCGAATTGCATGAGAATTGCATGAGGTGTTACTACAGTGGGTCTTCACTGGTGTGGGATGGCATCTGCTTGTTCAGTTTTCTTTGTCCCAGCAGTACTCTTGCAGTGCTCCGGTTTACTGCCCAGCTGATGGCCGTACTCAAACCCGATCCTCAGTTCTCCCACCTGTGAGTGCGGAAGGATGTCTGGGATCCATTCAATCACAAAGGGCATAGGCTCTGTCTGCTCAGCAGCACATGTCCCTGAGAGAAACGATACCACAGTGTTTTAGTCATAAAGCACAATACATTGAATGATAATGATTGTGCAAACCTCATCCAAGTGACAAAGTCAAAATGATTGGATAAAAAGTCATAACTATCTAAACTTATGAGATAAAGTAAAAAATAATTAACAATAACAGCATAAGTTATTACATAAAAAAAACAATTATGACATAGGAAGTTGAAATTATGAGATACAAAGTCATTGGCATTCACTAGGTCATGCCATTGTTAGATTAAGTTTTAGGTAGACTATCTGTAGCCTTTATGATATGGATCATCAATTGGAAACTGGTGCAGCAGCAGTGCAGAATTCTGGGAGAATGAACAAGCAGACACAGAGCCAGTGTACTATAATAACATTCCCAAATGTATTAAGGAAAATGGGTCATATTTATACAGATAGATTCATGCAATAACATACAGAATGTCTTGGGCATCCAAAGGTCAAACATTACCCTATATGGATATTTAAAAATATAACAACCATTAAGATGTGCGTGCAAGCATATGTATGTGTGTGTTCTGGTGTGTGCATTTAGTTCTCGATTTTTCATCCGGGTGTACCTGTATGTCCAAGGTCTAGTTCTTGTTTTGTCTAGGTATGTCTGTGATGGGCACATAAAGACAGGAAGTAACACAAGGGCAGTCAAAAGTGGAGCTTTAAGAAATAAGGAAATTTTACTGGCCACTTTAAATCATTTATGATTTAGCACTTCACTTTTAATGAAAATTTATGATATGGCTTTATATCTCATAACTTTTTATGTCATAATTATCATTTACCAAAGCATGATTCTTTTCTTATATGGAGGAAATGGGCTTCCTAGCCCCAGACATAACTTAAAGGAAAAAAATGTTTATATCGAGGCCACAAGTTAACGATACGTTCCCGCGACTTACTAATTCGTCACCTTCGTGAGCACGGTTTACTAATTCGTTACCTCGTTTTAAGTACATAGTGTGCACGATTTACTAATCCATTCTGTTCATCGAATGATTTGTCAATAACTAATTCCTCTTTGCGAACAGGCTACATCCCCGTTACAGTCCTGTCATATGTTATTATGTATTCCAGTATTAAGTATTCCAGAAAGTGGTGTATTATATATTTCTGGAATTACCTCGATATTGTACTGAATACATTGTAGAATATTTCTGTTATGGCGCAACACCTTTGACAACTGAATGTCTCACATTTAAACAGAAAATAGGGTATTATGATATATACTGCACAGAGCATACAATTTGCCATGCTGTGAATTATGGAAAATGTTTGAAAATGGAAAATGTTTAATCTGTCTATTTGTTGCTTTGGTTATGTCATGTGACGGCTAATTGAAAAGATATATGATGTATTTTAATGGTTAAAACCATAGATATGTGTACGTAGATGCCTTATTGCCTATCACAGCTATGCTGATGATACCCAGATTTACCTAGCCTTATCGCCAAATGACTACAGCATGTGTCATTAAATTACAGTTACTTACGAAAATGTTAGCGATTACACACATACATAGATATGATTAATTTCTTTCCCAAATTTCATTGACTGCTTTAAAATATGAGACACCAATGTTTCAGGAGTTTAGGACACAGAGTAAGACACATGCTTAACTGTTTTATTTCCAATTTGGGTTTATGTATATGCTTTATTTTTGTTTTTTTCCAAGGCAATGTTAGATGCCTGTGTTTCCTGTCATAACTATGCAAACATTTGATTTCAAAAACAGTATCATACCTATTAAACTATTTTTTGTTATGATTTTAAATCTGTATTTAACCTCAGAATGATCTCAAAGTAAAAAGAGTTTCTAAAGTCTAATTTTGTGGTGGCTGTGCTTTAAAATTTAATTATTATTATCTTAATTCAAGTAAGTAATCATTGTTGAGTACTACTGTAAGGTTAACCCTGCTTTAAATGTTTCAAAATGATTAACAGTTGAAAACATTCATTAGAAATTTAGAAATGTAAGCAAAAAGTAATCAAATGTAATCAGTTACATTACTTTAGTAACTGAATTAGTTACACTACTTATTAGTACATTTTAAATAGTGTAACTTGTGATCTGTATCCTATTACATTTCCAAAGTAACCTTCCCAACACTGCGGACGCATTGACCTGTCGGAGTGGTCGAATGTGGCATCTACCTATACATATTTATGGTTAAAACTATATACAACAACAAGCAATATTACAGAATGTAAAATCAGGCATCTAAAAGAACACTCTTTCATTGTTTCTATCTAGAAGAACAGTTCTTTCAGCCAATGGAATCACTTCGGGTCCAGTTGGGGATGAGAACTGATAGGGGAATATGATTTGGCACAAAACCAGGACCGATAAATCTGACTTCACACTAAGTAAATACATGCACTTACCCACTCTGAGGAAGGTACGTAGCTCAATTGGTCTGATGGCCAGAGGCTTATTGGTGCGTGAATGGTGGCAGGTGTCTGATCCAGGATCAGGAGGTGTTTCCCGACAGCGGTACGGTGAATAGGAGCCGTCACTGTTCTTCACAAAACTCTGAGTGAGTTCTAGAGTTAACTGTTCAAACAGAGTGCCATCATTTAGAGACACAGATGCTATGGCAATTAGTGAAGATCTGACACATCAGGCAGCAAACGAATACACACCTCTGGGGTATCAAAGATGCGTTTCACATGCATCAAGTTGGTAATGTGCCAGGTGTATTTAGAGAAAGAGCCCAGAGGCAAAGCGTCATTACGCACAAATGCTAAAAACACACACATTACAAAATATTAAAACAAGGTGTAACTATATTTATAATCATCAGATGTGATGGTTAGCACGTGATAAATGTAATGTTAGATGGGTACATGGCTAACAGATATTCTACTCACTGGTGGTGTAGTTGGGTAGTCGTCTCTTCTTTGAGCCCAATGATAAACGCTGCTGTAATGCATTGAAGAAAGCCTGAGGGATGTGGAACACCAGCGGCTCAGGCTTTCCTGTTCACAGAATAACCTTCAGCATCAAATCTCATCTGATCAAAGGTAGAAATGCTTGAAAAGTAGGAAACTTTAGAAATATAAATATATGTAACTGTATATGAAATCTTGCATATCTTAAAGCACCCTAATTTTCTTATACATAAACATTGTCTTTTTACTTTACATTTTACTAATCAGTTGTATTTGTTCTTTTTAAACATTTCATAAATTGTAAAAAGTATAATTTGCAAATTGTTTTACATTTTGCTACATTTTACAAATTGTTATATTTACACTAATTTAATAAATTTTAAAAGTATATTTTTGTATGACATCACAGTAGTATTGTTGTACAACCCCTGTCAAAAGTTTAGCAATATTTGACAACAACTTTATGACAATTACACATAATAATGAGAAGCATCCTGTCAAGGAATAGATTTTATAATTCTACAATATTATGGGGACAAAAATCTCGACAGGATGATTCTCATTATGCCAAGTGCCCTAAAAATGCTGTCAAATATTACAAAATTGCAAGTACTGAGGAAATCTGAATGTTTAGATTTCTTCCACTCTCATTTTTTATTTTTTTTTTGCTTCTACAAAATGATGAAAAATAGATGTGCATCAGGTGCTTTTTTTCAGGTTATAAAGTTGCAAACTGAATCATTACATTTTCAATTGTTATTGTACAATACTATCATATGTATTTTGAACATGCAATTTTATTGTAAATGAAAAAATCATTTAATAGTCTCCCACTTATAATTCATAACTTTATGATGGTGCACTGAACTAGTGAACACAATCTTTCGTATATGACTTGAGTGTACCAATAGGCTTCATAATCTTTCATTAAAATATATTTTTCTTTTGATCTGAGGTGAAATGTGACCTGGACATATTTTTGACAGGCTAATATTCTCTTACCATCAAACTGAAAGTGCATCGTCTGATGGATCCTCTCGGTAACACTAGCCAACCACTGCTGGAAACCCAGTGACACATGTGTCTCATCCACCGGCTGGCTACTTCCTGTTTAATTCACCCAACCACACAACACACATCAAAATCAGTAAACTACGATAATGAATTCCATGTGTATATCATTTATATTTTCAAACTTAAACGGGTAATGTGACTGTAAATCTCTCAAAATCAACCAACAAATGTTTCATATCTGTACTAAAGAACAATGAGAGCATGGGAAGGATACAGAAATAAAGTCAGAGAAGAAGAAAAGCAAAAGTGTGTAAGGGAAGAGGAAGTATCTGGCAGCACCTGGGTTCCTAAGCCCAGTAGAGCTGGAGTTTTTTCTGTGAGTGGGCTTGCGCTGGTTTAGGGTGGGAGCAGAAGTATCTTTGACAGCCAGAAGAAACGTGGAGGACACAAAGGAAGCTGCGTGAAACAGTGACAGGTCCACAGAGCCCAAGAATAAAAGAGGAAAACAGATTACAGAGAAGATGGTCAGTAACTACAGAACGCAACAGCAGTATTTAGATATCAACAACAGATTTCAGTGGGTGGAAAAGAAGAGACTCCGAAAATATTCATTTTGAGGCCCACACAGAATCTGTGCCAACAGAAAGCTCAGATTTCCTCAAAATTGAAACATCCATCATTCACAAAATTCCCTGCTTCTTCGTGTGTCTGCTTATTAAATATTTTGGTGAATCTTGTCATTTTTTGTAGTTGATGTAACACTCTCAGCTTAGCTAGACAAATATTACCACATACATGCATTTTCATGTTGCGATTATCCCAAAATTAATTTGAAAAACTGCATTATGAGCAGGCCCAGAACACTTCAGCCAGTTTGGTGACTTTTCAGTCCCCTTTTCAGAGAAATGCATAAGCCTGAACATCGCTAACTGAAAATAGAACATTGTTCTACTGGATTGTAACCCTCATGTAGACTGTGAGCAAGAAAAATAAAACATGTAGTCACTTCTAACTTTCTCTATGACTGATCATTTTATATGTAAATACAGCCAAAATAACAGCACATCCTTTGTTTTTAAATTATGTCTGTGGTGATTTTGTCAGATGACACTGCAGTTATAAATCAGGATTTTAGCATTTCATGCTAATTTCATTGTCAGAAAAATATGTTTTATTCAGAATTTGGCTGTATTAAAATACAGAGAGCACACAGAGTAGGACAGAAACAAATGGATGTAAAGGGTTGATATTAGGTAGAATGAAAATATAATTCAACGACATCATGAATATGCTAATTAGCACACAGCACAATCTAAGAACATTTAGCAATTTTCAAGCAGAATTTCACTACATTCCACTGAGAGTACTTGGCAATAGTGACCTTTGTGCAGTAGGTCTGAGGTCACACATTCTGTGATGCCTATCCATGAGCTTTAACTTACCAGTAGAGGACTCCACAAATTTGAGTCTCTTGGAACGATGAGAAATGGAAGGCTCAATGTGCTGCTGAGTCTCAGGTATACTGAGCATTGTATCTGCCCTCTCCTGCAGTCCTGGACATGCATAATAATTCTCACAGTCATCTCTGATACATAGAAAAACACTCAACACACAATACATAGATCTGTTACAAACCTTTAGTAAGCCCTAACTAGATATCACAGGTGTGCTGTCAGCACAAATGCTGTTTCCTAAAGGTAGGAATTGTATACTCTCTAATACAGCTAATTCTGCTCAAGACGTAAAGAAGCATTGCATGTGTCTTTAATGGTGAAAGCAATTATAGAATCTACTGTGATAATCATCTGCAGTACAGAGGAGAAAAAAAAATGTTGAGAGGACATTACTAATATAATTCATTCAATATCAAAAGGTATCAATAAAACATTCATCTTCTAATTCATGAACTTCAAATTCAAAATGTAAAATCTGAAAAAATATTTGTGTACTATGCATTTTGAAGTTTATTAGATAATGTTGTTATGCTGCCTTCACGTGCTATCGGAAATGTCCTATTTCCCACTTGTGAAGTCGTGATTACGAGCTTGTCGTATTCAAGTAATGTCGGAAAGAATAAAATGTAGCATCCCATTGGTTGACGATCATAAACATTCACCACGCTACACATGCAGTTTGCTGACAATTCTGGAATTTCGGTCAAATACATGCTTATAAAACATATGCTTTGAATGATCGTTCATATCTAGCCAATAAATACACTACTTTAGCGACAAGACAAAGGGATTTAGTTGTTGCGAGAACAGCATTGACAGCAGCAATGGTTGTCCCCTCCACCATGTTTAAAGATTATGACCCGCCCAACTCAGAAACTCTGGTATCAAAATTATTTCA